GGGGCGCGAGCGGGGCGGGCGCGGGCTTCATCTGCGGACCATGGGGTGCTCCCCAGTGCCGGTTCTCCAGGGCGCCGGGCGACGACCGGCTGGATCGGCTATGGACCGCCGCTGGGGCTTCCTGATCGGCCTCCTGAGCGCCGCGTGGCTGCTGCTCCGCTCGGGCCACGACGAGCCGCGGCCCCCGGAGACGGCGGCGCAGAGGTGCTTCTGCCAGGTGAGGGGTGCGCGCGGCCGTGCTGACCTTCCCGGGGCTCCCCAGCCGCGTCCTGCGCTGCATCCCGCGCGCCCCGGCGGGTGAGGTGCTGGGGTGCATCTTTGCATCTGCACCCGCCCGGGATGAGTCCCCCCGTGCCCCTGCTCCCTGGCCTGGGCTGAGCCCTCCGCAGCTCGCTGGGTGGATGGGGACGGCTCTCCCACGGCCGCCTGGACCTCGGCGCGCTCTCCCGCGCTGGGGACCGGGCGTGGGGCGAGGGGGGTGGGTGGGTGCCGTATGTTTCCACCGAGTTGATTTATGCATCTTTGTCGGGCTTTCCTAATGCAGAGAGGGTGCGCACAGTGTGCGAGCACACTCAGTATTTTCTCTTTCCACGGGAGCTGGGTCTTTCTAACTTCTAACTTGACCTGGAACTGCGTACGCTGTGCCCGTGCTGGGTGCCTTCGCCAGCCTTTCAGGCCGGGACGGGCTTTTGCCAGGGGCGGGGTGTGGTGTGGTGCTGCTGTCAAATCTCGTTGTCAGGCGGGGAATGGCTTCCTATGGCTTTTCTGTGTCTCAGCCCAGTGCCTGGTGTCTTTGGGGTCGCGGCACCTCCTGGCTCCTCGCCCCTGTGCGGTTTTTCATTTTCCATAATGTCATGAGGTTCTCTTACCGTGATACCCATACAACCGGTCTGAATTGGGCTGATGACAAATTTGATACCAAGTACATTATGATCATTTCCTTGTGTTAGGGATGGGCAAAAAATTCAAAGAACTTTCCAGGTTTCTGGACCGCCACGTTCTGGTATTTTAATGTCATTACTCTTAAAGTCACCGTTTAGTTGGCTTCTGTGGATGAAAACTACCAAATTGAGGTAGGCATCCAAATTGTTCCTTTTAAGTGGATTTTACTATTCATTTATTGTCAGAAACAACATTTGATGTTTGTAAAGGCAATGGTACGATTTCACAGAGGATGGGAACACTAAGTATCAGGAGAGGAGGAGAGATCTCTTTCACTGCTTTATATCCACGGATTTTGTTTTGTTTTGCTTAGGGATTTGGGTGTTAGGTGTTATCAGGCACCGTGTAAGATAAGTTACAAAGAAGTTGCTGCTTTACAACTAAGAGATTGAAAGGCTCCTTTACCTTCAGTGATTGTGAACAGCACACAGTATTTCAATAGGAAAAGGGTCATTTTTCTTCTGATCACAGAAATCATGTAATACAAAGTTTAAACATTTAAAAATAAGTAATGTAGCCCTAGCCGGTTTGGCGCAGTGGATAGAGCATCGGCCTGAGGACTGAAGGGTCCCAGGTTTGATTTCCATCAAGGGCGTGTATCTTGGTTGCGGGCACATCCCCAGGAGGCAGCTGATCGATGTTTCTAACTCTCTAGTCCTCTACCTTCCTCTCTAAAAAATCAATAAAATATATTTAAAAATAAGTAATGTAGAAACAAGGCTTTTGGTGTTGAAAGAAGATGACCAATATAACATTTTCAACTGTGTTCTAGAAATTGGATAATGGAGTAAAATTTCATGTTGAGCTTTTCATCTTTCAATCCTCCCCCCTAACCTTTTCACATATCTAAAATAGGGGAGCTTTTACATTTTAACATTTACTGATTGATCGATTTGAGAGAGAGAGAGATTTGTTGTTCCACGTATGCATTCATTGGTTAATTCTTGTACGTGCCCTGACCAGGGGATCATATCCACAACCTTGGCACATCAGGACGATGCTTTTTCCCTCCCCCCAACTCCTCCCACTCAAATCTATAAAAAAATAAAAATAAAAAAGAGCTAAAAAAAAAAAGAGTTGTTCCAATCTACTCTATCAACAAGTGAATACTTATGTTCTTTTTTATGGTCGCAAAACAATAAAATTAATACAACTAAAGTTATTTGCCAAATAAAGTGTACTTTGAGCACTTTTAAAAAGTATTTCAGATTTATATGAGTTTGAGGAATATATTCTTACAGTGCTTTAGGAAAAAAATGATGTCTGTAGTAGGACTAGAAGTTGGTGGTACACAAGGAAATTATTTGGAAAGTATTTTTTGTTTTGTCTTTCATTGAAAATGGAAGTTTACCTCTAACCAGAGAACAGTGAACAAGCAGGCCAGTGTTATTTATTTTCTTTTGCCTTTTATACAGTATTTTGGTATTTGGTTCAAACCAGTCAGAATCAATGGAGAAAGCAATTGAGGCTCCTTCCATGGCTGACTTTTGGTTATCTAGTTCTATGTTCTACTGGGGCTACAGATGTAAGGTTTTTGGAAAATTTTACTTTAAAATTTTTTGAAAACTTGGCCTTTTCCTTCCATTAAAAACTTGTTGTAGGTTGCTTTGGGGAATAATAAGATCCTTTTCACTGGAAGTATTTTAACAGTGGTAAGGTAATAATAGTGATTAACATTTTACTTTGTCATTTTATTTTATCTTATGTTTTTATTGATTTTAGGAGAGAGAAAGGGAGAGGGGTAGAGAGAGGAACATAGACCGGTTGCTTCCTGCCTGTCCCCTACCAGGGATCCACCCTGCAACACAGGCATGTGCCCCAACCAGGGAATCGAACGGTGATCTCCTGGTTCATGGGTGAACACTCAACCACTGAGCCACACCAGCCAGGCTAAATTTTTAATTTTATAATACTTTTAGATTTTCAGAAAAATCATGAAGATAGTACAGAGTTTCCATATACTCCACATCTAATTTCCTCTGTGATTAACATCTTACATTAGTATGTTACATATATTATAATTAATGAACCAATATTAATATATTATTACTAAAGTCCATATTTTATTCAGATTTTCTTGGTTTCCCCCTAATGTCATTTTATTTTGATATCAGCACTTTGAGATAGGAACTGTTATTTTTTCTATTTTGTATTCAGATAGAAAACTGAGGTCTAGAGAGGTTAAAAAATGCAGGTAAGGAAACAGCAGATAAGTAGTAGAGATGGGATTGGACCCTGGCTCAGAGCCTGTATGCTCACCTTTGTTATACCCTGCCTCCTCCTGGAAGGAGTGTAGGAGGGGACTGCTGTGTTGCTTGGGAGGTTTCCAAGGCTTTCCAATTCTTAAGAAACTAGGACTTTAACCTGGGTGATGTTATATCAGGCCTACACCGGTTCTCAAATCTACCGTTGCTCAACAAGGGCCTTTTAATTGCCACTTATTAATTGGGCCCCGACCCATGGCTGAATATCACCTGAAGCCTAGAGCAGTAAGTTTCACATTTTAGCATGCAGCAATCATGTTGTGTGTGTGTGTGTGTGTGTGTGTGTGTGTGTACATGTGTACATTTTTTAAAAATTCAGATTTCTGTGGCATGGCCAGATTTCTGTTTCACTTTTGGAAACAGGAGTAGTAGTTATTTAAGCAGGTTTAGTACATTCTGAGTACACCATCACGTCATTCTTGTTATCTGTCCGCACCTGTCTTTTGGTTTAGGTAATAGGACTTTGCTTTGTTTCCAAGATTCAACCCTGGGTCTATTGACTGGATTTCTACCTTAGTCTTTTCTGGGACTCTACTTTGGTAACATGACTGGTTCTCTAGTTGCTAGAACTGGGCGTGGTGTTATTCCTGCCAGACTCCTGCCAGGTTTCAGGTTCTGCTACCTGTTGGCAGGCTTATCCAAATGGTTAGATGACTTAGATTCCCAAATTCCTTCCTGTCTCCTTTGCTGAGCTCTCTCTATCTAGTGATCCCTGTTCTACCTCCTTAGCTGCCCTGCTACCTCTTGTTGTAGTTGGGGAAACCTCCTACTCAATTTCTAAGGTAAGAAGATTTAAAAATCTACCATTTAAAATCTGGCAGGTATAATACTCCGCCTCCTCGCCTTTTGAGGTCTCTGGGCTATATGCCACCTTTGCCCCGGATGCTTCTTGCATTCCTTTCTGGTTTGGGGCTTCTTATAGCTTCCTTTGTAATTAGGATGTGGATCAGTAGAATGATGGATGCAAAGGGTTGTTATCTTTGCAGCTTGCTTTCCTTGCTCTGTGAGTGCACGCCTGCCGCTTGAGCTGGTGTGGTCGGGGGCACCACAGGTGACATGGTGGTACATAAGTATAATTAGGCAGTGCAGTGCTCATCTGCAGTGAGAGCGACAGTGCACAGTGGTCCTTCATTCATTCACTCACCCATTCCACAAATAGTTACTGATCACCTACTGTGTGCATTTTAGAAGTTCAGCAGTACTAAGTTCATATGAAGAAGAACAAACATGATTTCACTCGCAAGGATTTTGAACTGTAGTGGGTGGGAGTGAAATAGACAAATTCAATACAGTGAAGTGATGATCACATAGAAGAGTATGTGGACTGTCGTGGGAGCACATGGGAGGGACGGTTAACCCAACAAGGGGTGAGTGGTACCCCAGGGGCAGCTTCTCAAAAGAGGCGATGCTTACTGGTAGGCTTGAGTGTTGAAGATAGACTGTCTTAAAATGAATTCCTCAAGAGGAAAAATGGATTGTTTCAAACCCTTTCCCTCAAGTATTTTATGTGTTTGTTTCTTTTTCTGACTTAATGTCTCTATCTGGCATCTGTCCCTTTGGCCTTTGTAGTCTTTGTGCCAGTTATTCTTTGTATAATATTTTATATCCTGCCGCGACCTTCTCGGGAGTTCAGGATGACTTGCAGGAGGGCCGACAACACAATGAGTATACTATACAAGAAGTATGAATTTTGAAGGCATTGGGGGCCAGGTGGAAACCTCTTTCATGAAGAGGCTCATGAAGTCTGGGTTCTGCCCACTTTTATTCACTTGGAATACACACTTGCCCTTTAGCAATGCATACAGGCAGATCAAAGGTAAAGTTTGGTAAACAATGTAAGGAGTATCAGGTCAGGAAATTGCCTCCAGCCATCACAATCATAGCAGGAGCAATCTTGTATTGATTCCAGCTGGAATCAACGTCCATTGGCCTTCCTATGTCTCGTTTGCACTTTTATGCAAATGCTTGTTATGCTTTGGCCTCCTGCGGTATCCAATGGGAGAAACAGTAG